TTATTTTAATTATAAGTAGAATGTATTGAGTTTGAACTTCTTACAAAACTCCTAGTCGAACAGTTTCGTTTAGAGCTATCATAATTGTTGACATTAGTTTGTCAAAGCCAGTAAGTCTCTATCATTTCCATTTAGAGACTTCTTACATATATGTTTTCAACTTTGTTATATTGTTATCTACAGTATATCATTTTACTATTATTGAATAGTTTATTTATTTATTTATCCAATATTACGGCTTTTAGTTTAATTGGTCCTGCTTAACGTCTACATCAACGTCTGCACATAAACCAGATGAACACTGAAGTAAACGACATTGTAAGTAGCCAGGCCAAATTTTTATTTAAGGTCTACGGTGGTCAGTGAACATAACTTGTTTGTAGGTGTCTTAGCAAATTCTCATCACACAAAGTTGTTTGCCAACTTACGACTAATTACTTAATCAAAAGTGATAGAATTTGTTTGCCAAGTTGCTTATTTCTAAAAATTTGTGTATGTATTAAAATTCATTTGATTTCTTAACCGCAGTAAGTTCAGTCGTAGTCATAGTATAGATATTTAGTAGTTTACGGGGCTTTGCTTGTTCATAATTTTTATTATTGTGGATTATTAATATATATATAAATTTTTTTTCGCACCTTCTGCATAAAGAAAGCAGGAAGTATCCATATGTGTGTATTTGCTTTTGTGAATAGATGTATAGGGATGTTCGTCCGATCAGAAAATTTTGTTAGTTTAGACTAAACTAATCCTCTTTATTATCATTTTAATTTAATTTAATACTCAAATTTGAACATACATATTTCTTAAATTAATTTCATTTCCTCAGCATTCCATGGTCATTCATACTGTTGCATTTTTTACATTGGTAGAAGAAAAGCCAACAACGCACAAACTATAAATAAAAGATATTCAACATTAATTAAATGAAAAATATATAATACACGTTTGAGATAATTAGGGTTGTCTTGTTTTGTTTAAAAAATATATTTATATCGGGATATGTTTTTGTCCAAATATTTTTCGATATAATTGAGTTGGTCATTCTTGTAATAAGTGAGCCAAGCGCAAAAGTAAATAAAATGAATATAATGTATAAACGAATTATTTGGTCTTAAAAAGTGGAACAGCCAAATGTAATTTGTGCCTTAAAATAACAAAAACAAGTTATAAGATTGCGTAGGTACCAGAAATTATTAAGTAAAA